AAAAAAAAAAGGTCAAATTCAATGAACAATGTACATACCAGGAAAATAAAAACCAATGAACAATATATCATTCTCTAAATTACTCTTTTCATTAAGGCATTCTTCCTTCACAAATAATAATCCATTTTATCACTTTATACAACAAAAAAAGATTAATTTCTTTTCTCATTAACACTAAAGAAAAAGAAAAACTAACTAAAACAAAAAAATGTGCAGACATAAAAGGGGATGCATGGGCAAGTGATCAAGGGAATATATATAGACTGTGGAATCATGTAAGTTTGAAAAATATGCCACCACAACTACGGCATGCTAACAATATCCAAATTTTTGCACTCATTAAACCATCCATTAAATAAAAATAAAGAATTATAATATCTAAATCACATATATTCAAACTGAAATTGTAAAATCATAAAATCCATGATAATTAAAGCCATTGCACATATATGAAATGTATATGATATCATTCACTTAGTAAATATCCAAGTACTGTGAATAAAAAAACTTAGTAATCAACTACTGAATTACAGAAAACTCAAGCCTATGAATAAAAGTTAGGATGTAAAGTCGAGCAAAACATACTTTCTTCGTAATAGGCACTTAAAAATCTTGCAAAACAATAGAAGACTCGGAGTCATAATTATCCTTAAGTCGAAACTTTAATGAATAAAGTCACTCAAGGAAATTTTTCCATATATTCATTGGAAATTTTTAATATAGTTTAAGTCCTTATATTGTGTCACTATAGTTTAAATTGATGGATAGTTTCGCGAGCGTATCAAGTGTACCACATATTCTAGTGCTTTATAAGTCATAAGATGTGAGTGTGAAAAATAATACTAAGGACTTCGCCTAATTATTTAGAATCGAAAGATACACATCGTAATTATTCACACATAAAGTAACCTAAAGTGCTGCAATCACCAATTCAATTGAAGCAGAAGAAATGCAATTAACAATTCTAAAATTCAAATTGAATCTAAAATAACTACAAAGTTCGCACCAAAATCGAACATAAAGTAATTACAAAATTCATTGAATCTTATCAAATCAAATTCAAATTACATCTAATCAAACCAAGTTCACCTACAGTAATTGTAAAATTTGCAATTTTGTAATTACTTCATTATTACATTTTTTTAACCATCTTTACCAAAAGCTATCGACTTATGGAGTTATGGGTTTTATTTAAACTTTTCTAGAAACCATTTCTCCTCTGTGTGGATAGGTGGGTGGGTGGGTGGGGGTTGTGCAAAATCTCTAGAAACATTGAACAACAAAAATATTACCCATGAAGTATTGGTCTATTCAACCACAACCCATTTCAAACATTCTAATTTGGAATAAAATATCCATTCACAAACCCACGAAATACAACAGAAATTGTAAAAGAAACATAAAAGCTAATTTTATCTAGAAAAAACGTATCTTATCAGAATTATTTCTGAGGTAGATTATAGTCCTCGGAGAAGTATGGATCGAGAAGGCCTCTCGATGATCAACTATGAGAGAAAGAGAGTTGTGAGTAGACGGAAAACAAAATTCAAAAGTTGTAGGTGTGACGGAAAGCAGAGGATTTGGGGTAAGGGTGTGTGTGTTCTGTGAGTATTATTTTTTTTTTGGGGGGAGAGGGGTTGTGCAGGGTAAGAGGGAGGGATTCTATGAGAGTGTATGTGTGTTGTGTGTTCTGACACCAAATTAACATCAAATCAACACTTCCACAAGCATTTACTCCGTACAATGCAAGGTTATCCCCCAAAAAAAAAGAAGGAAATAAGCATTGGATTTAATGTACAAACAGATGAATTAATTTTTTTTTTTAAATTATTATAAGAAGCATGACACATTTGTTCACCAAGTATATAGCAAATCATGGACAGTTATGAAAACTCAACAAATAGAAATATTAAGACCCTATAAATCATCATATAAGCATGAAATCAAATGATCAACATAAAAAGTCAAACACAACAAAATAAAGAAGCACAACCTGAGTAATAAGATAATGACATAGAACCCTTCTTGGTCAATGACAGCACCAACTAACTATTTCAAAATTCTAAATTTCACACAAAGTAAGGGAAATGAATGGCAATAAAACAACAAATTGAATAAGCACAACTCATAAGCAAAGAGATAGGTAACCTCAATAGTACCTATGGAACAACAATCAATTCAAGCACAAAATAATAATTTCCACTCGAGCAATAGGAAAATGCCGAATAATGGTTACTCCATAAAAATATGCACAAAAGGAAATGGGCATTAGCTTCATAGAGGATCCATCATGGGGAAGCTTCTGCTAAATATAAATAATGCACAAAGGAGTAATTTTGCTCGATCTTTGATGAAACATGCAACAACTCTTGGAAATAAGAATAAAATTTCTAGAACAAACTTATGACATGTAAAGCTTCTGGCAATATTGGTGAACAATCCATGTTGCTAATATGTAAAGTTCCTTAAACCAATGAATAATTATGAGTGAACAATCCATGCTCAAGAGCCTTGCCTGAAACATCCACACTCAGTTTCTAATAATGCAACTGAGTCTGTAACACTCAGCCTTACCTCATTCATGGTGAAAGATTAAATAACTTCCAAAATCGGAGAATGCATGAAAATCATATTTATTGTCATTTTGAACTATGGATCAAAGTACATGTGAATTTTATCCGTGGGAGTATCCCAGAATGAAGTATTCCTAAAAAATGTAGTGACCAATTGGATAACACCAAATACATTTACTAAAAATTAAACACTCAATAAATTAAGATTCAGTATCTGGAGTTCATTTAGATGCATGCACATACATGCCAAAAAAAATATTCCAACTTCAACACAGCTAATTTTAACAGAAACAACTACTGGAAAAACTTTAGCCATGAAACATGCAAATCAAATTCTCTTAAAAATAATCAGGAAATGTATTTGGGGTATAGTTCGGGAATAATATTCTTCAAAAAATGGGCATAGTTATTATTCAAGGAATTTTTTAAAAAATTCTTTTAAAAATGGGACCCAAAAATAAATTCAACCTATACACAGGTTTGTGAAAAAACGGCAAAAACCAGTGCAATATAGAACACATGGTGTTTGTGGGCTGCGCCGTGGGGAAGTGTCCGTAGTGACATTTCGTCGAACACATGGTGTCTGTGAGTGACAGTTGGTGACTCGGCAGAGACAGAATTGGGGCAGTGTTTCTCTTACGCATTTTAACAAACATTTCATGAGCATTATGATTGGGGTTTGGGGAGTTAAGGAAATTGTGTTCTGTGTGTATGTGGGAAGCAGAGAGACAGAAAGAGGGGAGGGGATGGAGAGAAATACCTGGGAGATGGTTGTGGGTCGTGACGGGGGTGCTGTGGTGGTTACGGTAGCGCTGGACAATGGGCTGTGTGAGAGTTGTGATGCAGAGAAGAGAAATAGAAAGAGAGAAGAGTTGTCGGAGTCGTTAGATTGCTGCAGTATGTGGTTGCCGGAGTTGGAAGCTGAAGAAAGATCTGGTTGTTGAAGTTCGAATCTAGAGAGAGAGGGAGGAGACGAATGGTCAGGAGAGGAAAGAGGGAGGAAATCGGGGAGCGAGAGAGAGAAGACTGAGAAGAGTGAAGGGACCGAATCAGGAGGGATATTATTTCAATGAGAGGAATTTTGAACCGTTAGATTAAATATGAATTATTTATTTAGAATAATCTGAACCGTTGGTGAATAATTTTGAAATAAATATTTGTGATAGATAAATTAATTTAAGACGCCGAGATGAATTTATCGAAGTTGCTCGATCTTATGTTAAAGAATTATAGATGCTGTATTTATAACGCGTGAGAATAGCGAGACTTTCTAGTCTAACCGACCAATATATTATCATTATATACGTTAACAGGTGTGATCAGAGAGTCACTAATTTCTCGATCAGCAGCAGGACAGTAAAAAAAAAAAAATTGGGAGAAATTGGAAGAAAATCGTTTTGGCATCTTCACAAACAGTTGGTGTTCGAGTTTTAACGGTCTCTCTTCTTCAATTTGCAATCTAATTCTTACTCCCATCAACCTCTATCTTAGTTATGACTACATATATCTATACATGCTATGTAGTATGTTATGAACACAAGTGCACACATTATTGTTTCCTTCGTAAATTAGCATGGGCAGCATGAGGGCTTGAAGAAGGAGGAAGGAGTCAAGAGAGAAGACGTGATGAGGGTGACACTCTGAGCTGCGAGAGATGAGAGCAATTACCTGGTGGGTGGGTGGGTGGGTGGATGGATGGCGGACGGCAGCAGCCATTGCGACTGCTCTGCTACTAAGTTCTGCCGATTCACACTTTGCCGATGGAAAAGTTCAATAGAGGCGTGAATCGTGGCCACGAGAGTTGAGACTTCAGAGAGAGAGAATAGGGAGGGAGGGAGGGAGAGAGAAATGAGTTGAGATAGTGGGTGGGATGGCAATGCGAGTGTGAGAGACGCAGAGCGATGAGAGTTGGGGCTTTAAAATATTGGGCTGCAGATTGGGTTAATCCAGCTGGGTTGTATAAAGCCGTCCGGGTCTCTTGGGTTGTTATAAACCCGACCAGTTCGCCCCGAGTCTGTCAATTGTGTTGAATTAAACAGATTTGTGTCGAAGATTTGTGTCGAATTTTAGAACGTTTATATAAAAAAAATATTTTATCTATATTTAATTTATTTATTAATTTATATCTAATAAATCATATTATATTAATTTAATATCATATATGAAATATATGTAATTTATATAAATAAATTATATAATAAAGTTTTTTATAAATTTTATTTTTATTTAATTTATTTATTAATTATATCGTATTCAATCTAATCGATTATTAATAATAAGCAGGTGAATTAAGAAAAAACTCAAATCTACTCATTTTGCATCCACGCATCCACGGCGCTTAACGGGTCATGTCCCTGCCTGCAGTTTGTCAAAATTGAAATCGTTAAAAAATGGTGGTACCGTGGTAGCGGTGGTGTATAGCGAAGAAGAGAGAGAGAGAGAGAGAGAGAAATATGAAAACCTCAAATGCTCTCTCATGATTGCGATGATCTAGTTGGGTTTCTGGCAGTTCGATTTTGCTCAAACCAAAGACGCATAGGCGAACACTTTACAAACTCACCAAAATTCGAAGTTTCCTCACTCGCCGCCAATGGAGAGTTCACTGTTCGAAACCCAAAAGCCCTCTCAAACCCCTCTCCCTTTCCCTCCACATCGCAGAAGACATCTCAGGAGCGAGACCTACCGTACCATTGTTCACATTCTCTCCAATTGCTGCGACGAGTCTCAGCGGTCTCATGCACTCCCAACTGTTCCAGAGGAGCCAAAACAAGGTAATTTCCATATGAATACCAGATACGACTATTTAACCAAATCATTATTTTTGATATTGTAATTATGGTTACGTTAGATTAAGAAGATTGTAGTTTATGTGCTAATTTTAGTTAAACTGCATTGTTGTTGATATTGGCATGAAGATTGTGGTGGCAGTGCACTAGGGCAATTGACGGAAATCAATAGATTGGTTGGTCCTAATCATATGGAATCCGAGAGTTGGATAGTTCTGAAAAAATCAGAAGAGAATGGAGAAGTTATTGGTTCTGAGGACAGAGATTGTAGACATAAAGTAATAAGAGTAGATGGGTTAGACCATGTTAATGCAATGGTTCATGACATTAATGTTAACTCAGTGGGGGAAGGTAGCCAGACTACCAATGGTGGAGTTGGGTTGAGGTTGATCAATAACCAAGAAGATTATTTAAATGACCCGGAACCTCATATGGAAGAATCTGGGCATAAGGAGCAGCTACAAGTAGATCAGGAACTCTCTATTGGTGAGGCTTGTGAAACTATTGACTCGTGTTTCGGTATAGATATGATCGCTGGAATCGCTGGAACTACAAAACCTGGTGAGATTAATGAAGAAACAAGGTCTAATGTGGAGAGATATTTTTCAGAAGAAGTTGAGCTGGAATTGCATCAGAAAGAGATGGAATTGGAGAAATTGATAACTTGTTCTAAAGGGCGGCCGATGGATTCTTCTTTATGTGTAACTGCAGATGAAGAGATGGAAGAAGGGCAAATTTCGGGTGATGATGGGGTTTATGATGAGTCAATGGATTTCTCACATGAAGATGTTGTATCATTAGAGAAGAAGAAGGTGGAACAGGTGAAATTTCTTAAAGCCATTGGTGATGAAGTAGTGTCTACTCATGATGAACAAAATGCAGGACTTGAGAGAGATTCCGAGTCCAGTTCCTTATTTGTCAAAGCAGTTGATAATGCTGGTAATAGTATGGATGTGGAACTCAGAGAAAGGATCAGAAAGGAGGTGGGGAATGAATCTCTAGTGGTTGTTTGTGGCAAGATTATAGAAGCTCAAAAGGCACACAAGTATGAGAGTATGCTAGAGACTGGAGAAATTAGGAAGCAATGTGGTGGAGTTGAGTCTGGCAGTCCAGCTGCTTGTGTTACAAATCTGGCATTGCATGGCAAAATCTCAGGGGAAAATGACACTGAAATTGAAGGCCCTGGATCTACTGAAAAGGTACGACTTTCTTTTTTCTGTTTTCCTGGAGAGTTTATGCAGCAAGATTACTTTTTTCTTTTTTTCATTTTCCCAAGTTATATTTTGGCCCAGTTTTACAGCATGTCATAATTGTCAGTCAATGCAGTCGTGGTCAGTTGAAATATGCCATTGTGAGTATGTCTTGATTTGCCTTTGTTGTTTTAGGAAGAGGATTTTTAATTTGATAATAATTATTTGTTTTGCTTGTTATAGAAAGAACAAAAACTGAGGTTCCTTTCCTTTATATGGGGGTTAATATGTGGTGCAAGTGAACCATGATATCTAGTGGGTGGATTATAGAAGCAGTTACCTGTAAATCCTCGGGGAGTTTTTTGTTTATATTGTCAGAGTGTAAGTGTGTTCATAATGGTTTGCAGATGATGAGATAGGTGAAATACTTCCTGAATAATGATTTAGAGTTTTCTGGAATATATGCTTCCCTTTTCCATTGTTACATTTGCCCCTGCGCAAAGAGTGATATAGCTATTGACGGTAAAGTGTAGGGGTAGAGAAAGACTTTGTTGAGTTGAGTAGTTTGTAATTTGATCTGGTTTAATATTTGTATTTGTCGCAGGATGAAGGTGTCAACAACAAGAAGAAAAAGCGGATTCTGACCAAGGAAAGAAAAACAAAGAAAAAGGTTTGCATTTCTTTCCTTTAATATATTACTTTTACATATTTCATCTATTTATATGGCCTTTTCCTGTATGGGTGCAAAGAGGTTGTAGACTGAATGGAATTGCTACAATCTAACACTGACATGAATGTTTATTCTAGATGCTTTTTGGACCAAAATGACCATCTTTGGGTATAATGAATTTGACTTGTTTATTTACCATCACACCATCCTGCAGAAAAAAGAAAGAATTAAACGAGCAGAAAAGAACAGAAAGCTTGGTGTTAAGAGGTTGAAACTGCAGCCAATTCTGAAACCGAAAACAGTGGCATATTGTCGTCACTTTCTCAAGGGAAGATGCCACGAGGTTGTAGGATTTTCTAGTCCTGTTGTTGTGGTTTGATTTTTGCATTGCTTGAAAATGTCCAGTGCATAATTGATGATATATCCGTTTTTTTTTCACAGGATGAGAAGTGCAAATTTTCACACGATACAATACCCCTGACAAAATCAAAGGTACACTTCATGACTTAGTGTTTATGCTCTGTTTTTATAGTTGAAGTCGAATGCTACTCCAATAACCAAGTTTAAGGTTGCAACATACCTGAACTCAAGCTGATAAGCTATCAGAATGAGGTTTATTTCAACAGTGTATTTACTGTAATTTTCCTCCTTTTTATTCGTTTTTAACTAGTCTGTAAAACAAGATACGAAGCATGATACAAACAGAATTATTTTATTAAATGGAGGTGAACAAAAGCACAAGAATAAAAGTAATGTTCCACGAGTAATCCCAAATGAAATCTACCTGTCCATTTTTAGATCCAACACCTATTAGTGGCTAGCGAGTTCAAAGAGGTTTTGAAATGTTTTAAGCCTTGGAGCTGCATGGAAATTTCAGACTGCTAGCATGATGATTGTTGTCATTTGGTCCATAAATTTTAACAATGCACATAATCTGTTCAATAGTTAGTATCACAAGATATTGGGAATATGATTTTCATTGATGGTAGACGTGCAAACTTGTTTGATTACATGTTCTAATTGATCACCAATACTTCCAGACCTTGTTACTACTCTGCATGATGCATATATTGCACTTTGCAAGTATATATTTCATCATCCTACATCGTCTGTATCGTTCTTGTTGCAAGCTAAAGTCCCACCTTTTTATTACTAATTATATATGTTGTATGCTTCTGGTTGTGTAGCCATGCTGTCATTTTGCACGTCACTCTTGCATGAAAGGAGATAAGTGTCCATTTGATCATCAACTCTCCAAGTATCCCTGCAACAATTTTGTGTCCAATGGTTCTTGCAGCAGAGGTTCTGACTGTATGTTTTCACATAAGGTGGTTTGTTCCCTCTTTTATTGTTTTAATTATATGCCTATCCATGTTTTGTCATGCTTTTCTTCCTGGTACTAGGTTTTATTTGACGCATATAGTTGTGTATAATGCCTCAGATGCCAGTCGAGGAGGGTTCCGTGATTGCTTCAAATGTTTCCAATCCTGAATCAAGTTCTTCTTCCCTGCTGAGCAATATAGGTCCTAAAAAGCCCTTGTCCATACATGGTGCACCTCATCGCAGTGTCAATGCCAAACCATACTGCACTGGGATCCCTCCTGGAAAGAGTACAGAACCAAAGGTGACACAGCCCACACTGAAATCTACTGCTGAGGCACCCAAAGGAATAAGCTTTTTTTCACAAGGGAAACTGTCAGTAGGCAATACCAGTAATAAGCAAAAACAAGCTGCCTCATCTCTGAGGGTAGATGATGGTGTAAAAGTTGGTGATCAAATTATCCATAGTGTTGCAGGTGTGGCTCAGAAGTTGAATGAAATTACAAAGAAAACACCTGCAATGTCGCCGAAGGGAATTAATTTCCTGTCATTTGGCAAAGCTCCTTCAGATTATTCTTTTAGTATAAAACCATCCAGTTTACCTGTTAGTGGGGATTATGGTACAGGAAAATCACTGCTGGGCAATGCCAGTGAGGGTAAACAAGCTAGCTCATCTCCAATGAGTGATGATGGTGCTAACGTCGATCATCGGGCTGGTCAAAGTATATCAAACATTGTGAATTCGAATCAGATGACAAACCAAACTCCATCTGCAGTTGTGCCCCGGGGCATAAACTTTCTCTCATATGGCAAAGCTCCACAAGATGTTTCTAGTAATAAGAAACAACAAAGCTTACTATCTACTCAAGGGAGTAATAGTGTTCCATCATCTGTTCAAGGGAAAGAAAGAAGGGTTGATAAACCTCAAATCTCTAATGCAATGTCATGGACACTGCCATCTTCTTCTTTTTCTTGTGGACAATCTTTGCAGCAGTTGGCAAATGGAGATAGTAAAAGCACACCAAGCTCTTCTCAGAAGTCACTCCTATCAAATTCACCAATCTCAGTGCAGAAGTCACTCCAATCAATGTTGGCATTTGCAGCTAAGTTTGAGTCCGGAATCAAGATTGATCCATCCACAGGTGACCCTGCTGTCCGTGCTGAGTGTGACAACGGAGCCGAAAGTTCACAAAATTAGTCATGTCTTGCCAGTTTTGATTTTGTTATACGGTGACAGTTGTAAGACCTAGCAATAGAGGACAACAAGGTGGTCTATTGTCCACAATAGAAAGGCATTTCTTTCCAGGCGCAATAAGCAGCTAAGGTTTGTTTTTCTTATCGGATTCTTTACAGTTTTCAGTATTCTTATAACTCATGAGCTAATATATAATGGCATTTGGGTTTGTCCAGTTGCTCCTGGAACAAGATATTGGGGATGTGAGTGGATTTTGAGGCTGCTGTTTTTAAGCAAATAGAGGTGATCACGCAAGCGAAAACTGTCAATAAGCTGAAGAATTTAGAAGAGCTGTAAGTATACAACATTCCTTCCGACATGTTCACATATAAGAACGGGAAATATTTATCCCCATTGCAACCAGGAATTTAGTGAGTTGTTGATTTTTGGTTCAGCATTTGCTAAATCACGATTGACAGGCCTCAACAGGATAATGATCAGAAATCTACATTAGATGTGTTTTTGACTAGTACACATTCTCCTGACTTATTCTAGGTTTCTGGTCTGTCGATGTTTAAGTTGGAAAACAGGGGCTTGATAGAATTAGCAATCGATTATCAGCCAAACCCACTAGCCCAAAAGGAAACTCCCAATCTAGGGAGGCTCCTCCAGCTCAAGAATGAATGTTGGGATGGTATTTTGGGAAGCAATATGTCTTGGCCGTTGGGACCCCATTCGAATCATAGTAAGTGGACCCAAGTTAAAAAAATATGTAAATATAGACAATACTTGAGTTGAAGCTTCCAGATAATTTAGAGTTTCACAGAAGGGGAGTTCTACGGTATGATGGGCAGTATCGGTACCCAAAGTTACACTTTTTAAAATTCAAGTTATAATTTTTTTGAGACATAACTTATTCTTTCTTTGTTCCTAATTATCTGTCGTTTAAGGTTTTTGTACAAGAATTAAGAAAACTATTAAATAGCTGTAATATGAGTAAAAAATAATTACACAAGACTACAATACCCTTATTTAATACGTATTATATGAAAGATATTTAGCCTCCACCTAATTTGATGTATTGAAAATTTAAGGGTAAATTTGGAAGAAAAAATATTAATTATGTTTTGGTTTCATTAAATCACATATATTATGGAACAAAAAAATTCGTGTAAAACGACATATATTTCGGAATGAAAAAAGTAATTTTAAAGAGCATGATTGATCATAAAAAGTTAGGATTAATATTGTGTTTTTCATGATGAGGTGTGTGATTGATCATGACTTTCTTGAGCAGTTGTAATTTCTCTTTTTTAAGTTCTAACTTTATCATATAAAATAATAACTGACAGTATTAATACCAAATTTTTTTTTTTGGGTAACGTTGAGTTTTCTTTCGCAACAATATTTAGGTTGACTCTTTCGGTGACCACCGAACCGAATAAACCCTCGACAATAATAAAATAAATAAATGGAGTTCATCTCTGGTCCGTCATGAATGGCAAGGTAGCTGGTAACATGGAAGCGGCAGAGCAGTCGTCGAGTTCACGGCATTGAGAGAAGCACTTTCCCGTGGTGCAACTCGGACGGGTTGGACAATTAACTCTAATCTAATTCTAAATATATAATTTTTAATCTTAACTCTAACCCTGCCTCGGGTTGGGGAACTCAATTCGAGCACTATCCGAGTTTAACTCGGTGGATTCGGGTTGAATTCGGATTTATGATTTCGGATTATTTTACGGGTTCAATTTTAGTAGAGTTCATAATAGGTTTGTTGTTTTAAACCTAATACGTATATTACATAATATTCACCTAAATTAATAATCAATAACTTCAACCAAGTTTTTAACGAGAGAGACTGAGAGAACAAGAGAGACATAGAACGATAAAACAAAAATAAAAAATCAGTGCTAATGTTTTATATATATATATATATATAATTTTTTTTTTAATTTGTCGGGTTCGGGTTAAACTCGGGTTCACGAAACCTTAACCCAATCCTAACCCAAATTGAATTCGGATTAGAATTTTTTTACTCAAGCGCAACCCAAGTATTAAAAATCCTTGTCCAATCCCTAATTTTTTCGAGTTAAGTTCGGGTTAAAATCGAGTTACCCAACCCAAGTTACACCCCTATTCCCTACCCGCACACGCTCACACTTCCATTTTGTATTTTTTTCAACTGATTGGAATTTTGTGTTTTTTCGGTGGTTGTGTTCGGTTTGATGGCCTACATTGGAATTATTATTATTTATATATTTCACTTTTTATTACGTTAGTGATTATATGCAGTTTATTAACCGTGCCAAAATTTAAAAAAAAAAAAAAAACCTTTTTTTGGAACAATCACAATCGTCGGGTCGGGTAACGAATTCTCATACTTTAACCAAAAATAGAAGTTTGACCTTGCCAATAGTAGGGAGGAAAAATTCATGGTAAAATGTTCAAAACAAGGTTAGAAAGACAAGACAGGGAGTCCCACAGATATTTTCTACCCAGACAGGGAGAGGGTTATGAACAAGCCAGCCAGCCAGCACAGCATCTTTGTTTCGGTGCCCCATGGGTTTGCCTGCCAAGCGTCCCTCCCATATACAAATACAATGGCGTTCGCTGACCCCTCAGGCCTCTGCTTTAGTCCCACGCAATCAATAGATAGGTCTTCACAGTCAATTAAATCGTATCATTCGTGTTATTTCCAATTTAAATTATATTATTTTATGTAAAAAATATTTAATTATAAAAATAATTCATATTGTACTACATCAAAAATAATACATTTTCTCTTTACAATATCAATTAAATAATTTATTTGTACCTAGTAATAATTTAATGTAATACCCCACATGTGTTTAAAATAAAAAAAAAATAAAAGACATAGGTGTTCAGTAATTATTTCATTTGAAATGATAAAATAGTATAACTCAAGGAAAGAGTAGTTAAAAGATTAGTTTCGATATGAAAATGTACAAAATAAATCATAAAAGAACTTGAACTAATTAGGTCGATGTAGAAAAGTATGTAGGATAAGTTAGGATTAAAGTTGGAAGGATTGGAAGTGAAAAGGGGCGCCCAAATGGGCGCTGGGGCGCTGCTCCGGGTACATTGCCTACTCCGGACCAGTTGTCGTAGAATCGTCATAACTCTTGCTACAATGGTCCGATTGAGCTGAAATTTTGACACAATGCAGAAGACATCTAGATCTACAACTTTCATGTTTTGCACTTTTTCAGATTCAAAGTTTATCATGATCAAAAATAAGGAAAACAGTAAGTCTGGAAAACCCCCAAAACAGACGATGAACAGTAAAAGTCGGGATTTTTGGGTTTTAAAACACCCATTCCAAGCCCTATTTCTCCCATTCTTCATTTCCTTCCACTCTAAATACCTTAGAGCCCTAAGAGAAGAGAAAAGGGAGAGAAAACACCAAGGTCAAGAGAGATTCCCACCTCATAAAGATCAAAACCGAATTTCTCAAGTTTTCTCTTCTCCACCCATTTCTTTTGCTTCTATTCCTCAACCACTCACACCCAAATCTCTAGAAACCCTAGGAGGACGAAATTAAGAGGAAAAGGAAGGAGAATAGGAAGATTTTGAATCTTGGGTCTTAGATTGAAGCTACAACCAAGAGGTAGGGGATTTCTTCCTAATTTCTTACATTGAGGCTAGGGTTTATGTATATACATATGTTTTCCACTCCCATCCATATTTATTTGATATGATTTGTATGATTCTTAATTCTCCTTGTAATAAATGCTATGTTTGAATAATGGGATGGTTTGGTAACCATTAAATTTCTCTTTTTCATCTTCCAAACTTGGTTTTAAGAAAAATTGAGTTTTCTCCATATATTGCCTTGGTTCTCACTTTATAAATTTAGTGTTCGATATTGTTCAACGAAAATGATCTTTATATTGATCTTTTGCTCATTTTAATTCCATCTTGCTATGACGCTTTACTTGTGAAATTTGGGTATTTTGCGATTAATTGGTAAAATGTGAATTGATTGAGAATATGTTGGTTTACTCATTGTATGGTGGTTGGGAGGGACTTGGATTACCTACGAGATATGCCGTAGAGTGTAAATGTCAGTTGAACCCAGTGGGGGGGGGGAGATGGTTTCTTGCACTTGTAGTGAGTTGTCATTTGGTAATGCGACCACTATCGTACGCCTGGAGTTCGAACTAGGGTTGGTATACCATTCCTGGGGAGGGACTCGTCACTGCCATTGGGATGGTAGACGCCCCTTCCCTAAGTACTTGTGATTGTGATTATAAATGGGTGGACTAGGTATAATCGTTGGGTAGATTCATGAGAAACAATCAACATACATGGTACGGGGATGAACCAACATAAATGTGATGATTGGCTGGAATGGCTTGGCCGGTGCATTGGTATGGGACGATGCATCGGAGGGAGCCCCTCCTAATTGACTTAATGTTGGAAATGGTTTGCTATGGTTAAACTTAATTTATTTCTCTCCTTAACTACTGTATGGCTTAAACTTGAGATCTATTTAAAATGTCCCGTTTTACTTCAAATTCATATATGTTATTTATGAAATGTGACCGACCCGTTTTGTATTTTATAAACCTTGTTGGAGTTGGGAAGATTTTGCTACAGAGCCTAGTGCTCATCCCCTACTGTTAACATTTTTCAGACTATATCCTTGAGGAGGAGCCAGGAGTCGAGGAGCCCGTTCTTTGGGAGACTCCGATCGACGGGAGCGTAGATCCCGAGGTGGACGCCTAGAGCGGCCCTTCTATTTTGTTCTAGACTAGGCTATGTTTTTTTTGAAAGATTGTAAAGTCTAGTTATCTTTTGAAATTCCGCTGCTTATCATAGTTTAATTCTTTGGGAATGTACATGCCATTGTGGGCATATTTTTTGGGTTAACATGTAAATTTGATGGATTGATTATATAGTAGTTAATTGGACCCGGTGTGGTCATTATAGTAGAATTGCACAGGTTGGATTTTGTGGTAGAGCTCCCCGTACAAAGGAGACTCTGCCCGAATTTTGTTAAAATATCAATGGTTGATGGATAAAAATTTCTTATTTATGGATTTATTTAGTGCTCTCATGATTGTGAAAGGTTTTAGAATGTAATGCCGTCCGAGGGGGTATTTGGGGCGTTACAAAGTTTGGTATCAAGCCTAGGCTTTAGGTCTTACATGGGAGCTGTAGGTTATGGACTACCACTAGAGATGTAGGTTTAGGGTGCAGGAAATGGTTGAGTTAATTTTTGTATATGCCTTGTGCTTAAATCAAGACATCCTACATATCATTTTAGTATGTCTTGTACATCAATGAAACTAAATTGTGAATTGATGTGCAGGATGGACGGTGAACGTGTACGTGGACGTGGACGTGGGCGTGGCCGTGGCCGTGGAGGTCAAACATATCCACCACCACCACCACCTCCCGATGCCATGGATGGCATATACCAATGCTTGAGGGAGCTCACCACTTTGGTA